AAGCTTCAGTAGATCATATATGCTGATCTAATCTTACTAGTGTGAAGGACTTGAAACTAAAGCCTTTGCTGCAACTAAGATTAAGGATGAAAAATTAGAAATAGAGAAAGAACACATTTCAAATATGGCAGGCAAGTTATAGGTACTTGAACTTTGTCTACCTTTTATTCCAGTCTCTGCTGTTCTTAAAGGTTTGACACTAACCCTCAGTGGCACTACAGCTGCTTTTTAAAAAAAGAAAGACAGAAGGCATGGTAAGGAAGATCTGAGTGTAATCACTGTCCACAAAGGACGACACCCGAGAAGTGCAGGTACTTATCTGAAAGATTGCTATCAAAGCAATTTATTTCATAAGAACTGATGTGTTATCTTGTAGCACCTATGCAAGATAACTGGTATCATCAAGTAGACAAGATGTTGGCTTCCTGCAACTGATAACCATTCCAAGTGATCTCAAATGCTTGATTTGACCAAATAGCTAATCCTTATCTTCTTTTTCCAGATGAATCCAGAAAATCAGCTCAGGAAGACTAAAAGTGATTGTTTTCACTTGCATAAAGAGGTAACAAGAATACTCCAACTGAAAATCTTAAGTCACATTTTCAATCTCATTGCCCTTATGTATTTAAATTTCTGTATTTAGGCTTCTGTACACATTTCCTCGCTCTTACATTAATTCTTACAGGAAAATTTGCTTCATACTCTCCACAGAACTCGGCTACTTTGTCTGCAAGCCTGACAACAGAACTTTTAATCAGCAATGGAATGCAAACAATGGCTACAGAAGCAATGGCATGTAAAGCATGCCTGTATTAGTTATTTCTTCATTCCTTCTTTATTCATCATATTAATGCTTTAGCTCAAGTTATTCTGTATATAAAGTACTTTTACATTAACCACTTGTAGAACTTGAAGTGAACTTTATTGCTTTCTTTCATTCCAAATTAAAATCGAGACAACAGATCAAGTGAATCTTTACAAACTAGTTTTTTTGCTGTGATTACTTTAGAAACAACCATAGGACATGATAAAGTTGTCAACACCTTCTAAAAGCCCCATAAGTAGGGGAGGTTTACTTGCAGAATTTTTCAGCTTTCTCATTGAGATACTTGTACACCATTGCTAAACCAAATTCAGATCATTAAAATACCCAATAAATTGACACTATATACATACACCATATGTACTGAGAGTTTTAGATAGTAAATCTAAAAATTAAGTTTCTTTCCAGGATTAAGTCATTAAAAGCAATTCAGCATTTATTTAAAAAATTTGTGCTCAACATTTGATCTAAATTGTACTTCACAAGTTCCTTAGCTAGTAGCTATGATAAAGCGAAAGGAGAAGGGAGGCTTTATTCATATCTTTGTTTAAAGTGGTCAGTGTCCAAGGCAAGTATTGTGAAAGGCAGCAGGTTTTCCCACTAGAGCAAAACAGAGTTCAGGGCCAGGTTGGACAGGACCTTTAGCAACCTGATCTAGTGGAAGGTGTCCCTGCCCCAGCAGGGGGTTTGGAACTAGATGATCTTCAAGGTCCCTTTTAATGCAAATAATTCCATGATTCTATTAAAGTTCACAAAAACAAAACTGCTCCTAGCTTTAGAAAAATATTTATCAGGGCACAAGCAGTAACCTGTCATTCTGTATTTGAGAATAAGCATAAATTCAGAGACATCAGGTACCTATAATTTGTAAAATGGGGGCTTCACGGCAAGAACCTGTTATTTAACGAATACAGGGCAAAACATCCAAAACACCAACATGGTCTCCAATGCCTGAAAAAGCCACTGAACAAGTAGGGCAAGGATGGAATTTTTCTACTCAATTATCCTTCTGAACTCCTCCAGCAGCAGAAATGCAGAGCTCTCACTCATGGCAAAGTAACTTAGTACGTGCTGTGAGTATTTCCATACAAATTGACACAGAGCTGACTGTTATATATACACATATATGTTTAGCGCAAACATATTCCGAACAAATAAACACTCTCCTGGTTAACCGACTCACTCTATCACCTTCCCCTGACTGCAGGGGAGGAGCAGCAAGGCCGGGGAAGGCTGTGCCGGCTCTCCGGGCAGCACCATCCCTGCCCACCGAGCCGTGCTTTAAGTAAAAAAAAAAGAAACTCAAACAAACAAACAAAAAACCCACAACCCTCCCCTAGCCCCCCTTTACTCCTGAATCACCCCAGTCCCCGATCAGCCCCACATCATCCTCAGAACACAGAGAGATGCTCCCCAAGGTCCTCGCCTCGTCCCCGAATTTATGGTGGGAGGCACTCGAGCTCTCCCGCGACGCCCTCCTCCCGTTACCCCCAAGCTCCTGCCTCTGCTTCATCCCTAAACTGACAGAAATTCCCCCAAATCTCTTAGTCCCTAAGACCCCTCGACCGGAGGTGCCCCCAGTCCCACCCCACCCCAAGCCCACAGAGGGGTTCCCGAGCACGACCCCCAACCTTACAAAGTCATCCTTGAGCTCCCCCACAAGCCCCACAGCACCCCAAGCTCACAGAGGGGTCCTCAAGACGCTTTCCCCAAGTCCCACTCCACCCCAAGCTCACAAAGAGGTCCCTGAGCTCCCTTCAGACCTCCCCCCAACGCCAGCCCCAAACCATCTCAGGCTCAGAGGGTTCCCCAAGTCTCCACACCTCCCCAAGCTTCCCTCCCCAGCCCTTCCCCACCCCACAGCACCCCAAGCTTACAGAGGCATCCTCAAGCCACTCCCCCGTCCCACCCCACGCTCACTGAGGGATCCCCGAGCCTGTCCCCCTACCCCAAACTTACAAAGGGGTTCCTAAGCCCACCCCCACAGCATCCAGACTCACAGAGGTGTCCTCGAGTCCCCCCCAGCTCACAGAGAAATCCCCGAGTCTCCCTCAGCCCCCCAAACTCACAGAAGTGTCCCCGAGTCCCCCCCAGCTCACAGGGAAATCCCTGAGTCTCCCTCAGCCCCCCAAACTCATAGAAGGGTCGCTGAGTCCCCGCAAACTCACAGGTGGGTCCCGGAGTCCTCCCTAGACCCCCTAACTCACAGACGGGTCCCCGAGTCCCCCCTCCCGGCCCCTCAAACACACAACGGAGCCCCCGAGCCACCTCCTCCCGTACCTGCCGGCGGTTCCCGGGACCCTCCGGCGCTGGGCTGAGGCGGCGCGCGCACTTGGGCCGCAACACCCCCGCCCGGCAGCGCCCCTTCCGCGCCCGCCGCGCGATTTCAAACCGCAACGGCAGCCCCGGCCCGCCAATGAGCGAGCGGTGCTCGGGACGCGCCCGCCAATCAGAACAAGGGCCACGCGGGAAAGGGGGCGGAGCGGGGACAGCCCGACGCGTGGCCGTTGTGCCCCTCGTGGAGCGCCCCCGCGCGGGGCAGGGCGGGCACTGCAGGGCCGGGGGGGGTAAACCTGAGGGGGGATAAACTTGAGGGGGGTAAACCTGAGGGGGGTAAACCTGAGGGGGGATAAACCTGAGGGGGGTAAACCTGAGGGGGGATAAACTTGAGGGGGGTAAACCTGAGGGGGGTAAACCTGAGGGGGGTAAACCTGAGGGGGGATAAACCTGAGGGGGGTAAACCTGAGGGTGGATTAACCTGAGGGGGGATTAACCTGAGGGGGGTAAACCTGAGGCGGGATAAACCTGAGGGTGGATTAACCTGAGGGGGGATGGATAGACTCTAGAGGGGGATCCGCCCCGGGGCAGGGGGGATGCACCGCCACACCTGATCTAGTGCGAAGTGTCCCTGCCCATGGCGGGGGAGGTTGGAACTGGATGATCTTTAAGGCCCCTCCCAACCGGTTCTGTGGTTCTGCTTTTCAATAATCTCTTGCATAAAATCACGGAAAGAAAACTTGCTGCTTCGCAGCCTGCTTTTTATTGTTGAGCTTCGTGGCCCATTCAGCGAAATAAAACAGTCCTTACTGTTGAGTCGTCAGACTGGTTGCTAAAACAATAAACTTGCTAACAAGGACGCCTTTTAGAATGAAGTAAGATGCCCAGAATCCAAGCGTGATTTTACTGATGTAACCATCTCCAAGAGTCACTAAACCGGTATGAATTCCCGATCTCCATCACAACAGTAACACATCAACCACCTGCCAGCGTTAAGATGTCACGTTCTGGGGGGGTGGCATTTCCTATGGACTTGGTTCCCCATCAGTGGAAGTGTACAACGTCACATGATGCTTTCTCTGCTGTGCCTTTCCAGTTACACAATCTCTCCTTTCTCCAAAAGAGACAAATATGGAAATTCATGATAATTACAGGGTTCATGCAAGGGGTTTGTTACATTCCACGAGAAACAGCAAATCTTGTGGCTATTAGTTATTATTTGTGCTTCAGTAGTAACCAGAGATCCCAGTTATGGGATCCTTTTACTATGTGTGTGTGCAGGGGGGTGTGTGTGTACAAAGACAGCTTAAAATCTGTCTCCCTTTAAGGCCTTTTAAGGTCTTACGTGCCTGTCTTGAAATAGTAGAAAATATTACAAAAATATTAGAAAATATTAAAAAAAGAAAATATTAGAAAAACATTAGAAAATGCTAGAAAGTATTAGAAAAATATTAGAAAATATAAAAAAAAATATTAGAAAATATTAGAACATATTAGAAAAATAAAAGAAAATATTAGAAAATGTGACATAAAGTAGACAAAGAAAAATAAAGGGAAGTTTTTTTCGGACCCTTAAGCAAAACAGTCCATTTCCCTGCTTCGGAGGGACGCTGCCCTCATCCAACAAGAGAGCTCTTTCACTTTTGTAAGGAACTGGAATCGGCTCCTTCTGCCAGGCCTGTGGAGCATGACCTCGTACAAAGCCTGCAGGCCACGGGGAGGGGCTGCGTGTCCCGGCCAGGCCGGGCAGGCGCGGGATGAGGGCGATGTCCGGTTCCCGATGTCCGGATCCCGCGACCTGGCAGGCGCAGAGGGATGGAGGGGCGGGAACGGATGGATGGAAGGGAGGGAGCCGATGGAGGGCCGGTCCCCGCCTCCCCTCGCACTGCCGGTCCCCGCCCCGGCATCCGGGGCTGCGGCGGGAAGTGCCGCCGGAGCGGTAGGAATTACCGCTCGCCCCTGGAGCACCCGGGGGCGCGGCGGGATCTCCCGGGGCCCGCCGTGCCCGGGAGGGGCGCAGCATGGAGAGCCCCGCGGTGACCTTCACTCTGGCCTACGTGGTGTTCGCCGTGTGCTTCGTGTTCCCGCCCGACGAGGTGCGCTCGGCGGGGCTGACGGTGCAGAGCCTGCTCTCGGCCTGGCTGGGCAGCGAGGACGCGGCCTTCGTGCAGTACCACCTGCGGCGCAGCACCGGCACGCTGCTGGCGCACTCCCTGCTGCCCCTGGGTGAGTCCTTCCTTCCTTCCCCGTGCACACCCCGGGCTCGGCAGCCGGCTGGCTGCACCCGGAGCACACGCACTCCCCGAGGAGTTGCGTTTCGCTCGACCAGGGAGTTCAGCTTGGCGTCCTTTAGCCATATAGTTCTGCGAAAAATTAAGTGGCGCCTTGCAGGTAATGCTGTTCAGCAAATTCAAAGCATCTTCTTTAAGGTGTATCATTCTGGCGTCTCACAGGTAGTTTTATTCAACCAACAGATGCAATTCATCTCCCTTTAGGTATATGGTTCAGGCAAAAGTGGCATCTCGCAGGTTATTTTATTCAAATTCAGATCACCTTCCTTTAGATATATCATTCTGGTAAAAGTGTTATCTCGCAGGTAATTTTATTCAGCAATTTCGGATCACCTTCCTTCAGGTGTATCATTCTGGTAAAAGTGGCATCTCGTAGGTAATTTTATTCAACCAGCAAATTCAAATTGCCTCCCTTTGGGTATATAATTCTGACAAAAGTGGCATCTCACAGGTAATTTTACTGAACAAATTCGGATCACCTTCAGGTAAATCATTCTGGCAAAAGTGGCACCTCACAGGTAATTTTATTCAGCAAATTCAGATCACCTTCGTTCAGGTATATCATTCTAGTAAAAGTGGTATCTTGCAGGTAATTTCATTCAACCAACAAATTCAAATTGCCTTCCTTTAGCTATATAATTCTGGTAAAAGTATTATCTTGCAGGTACTTTTATTCAACAAATTCGGATCACCTTCCTTTACCTATATAATTCTGGTAAAATTGGCATCTTACAAGTTATTCAATCTGCAAATTCAAATCAGCTTCATTTAGCTATGCAATTCTGGTAAAAATCAGGGATGCATAAGCATTTTCCTAAGATTGATTAAGACAAGGGGCTTGAATTTGAAGTCATCCAGAAGTACAGTAGCTCTCCTGGAGGTGAGCTCACTGGTTAGATACCATATGATTTAGGGGTATGTGTTTATGCGTGTACTTGACTGGTTTCTGAAAGCAAGTTGTTTGGGTTTTTTTCCCTTGCAGGTTATTACCTTGGAATGTGCTTTGCTGCACCTGAAAAACATCTTTGCTTTTTCTACCTGGCTTCAAAAGAATGGAAAACTTTCCTCTTCTTCGCAGTTCTCCTTCCAGCAGTCACCAGTGCCCTGGCATATTACTGGTCACGGAAAGGTTGGAATAATCACCCTTTAGCCCGAACACTCGCTGTCCATGCTCTCCCACAGTCAGGTTGGAGGGCAGTAGCTTCCTCCATCAATACAGAATTCAGGAGAATCGACAAATTTGCCACTGGAGCCCCAGGAGCAAGGGTGATTGTTACAGACACATGGGTGATTAAAGTGACCACCTACTGTTTACACGTTGCCCAGCAGCAGGACATTCATTTGACGGTGACAGACTCCAGACAGCATGAACTTACCCCAGACTCAAATGTGCCTGTGCAGTTCCTCACCATCCGAGTTTCCAGTATCAATCCCTACGTGAAGGCGTTTGATATCCGGTAAAACAACTGTGTTAACCCTGTTTTGTTACATATATACTATTTGATGGTGCTGATGGAGTGCTTCTGTGTCCGGTCTGAAGACTCCCTGATCTTGTCCCTTCCCTTCTGCTCCCTGCCTGGTGTTCAGAGATGCTGTGTGTGCAGTTCTGCCTTGCAGTGAAATGAAGAAAGGTTGTTTAGAAAGATTCACACACCTGCAGCGTTGAATGCACAGTGGTTAAACAGAGAGACTGTCCTGTTTGATCCATTCTTAGGGAGAGGATTTTGTTGGAGAAGTAACTGGAGAAATTTAGGTCAAAGATGGAGAACAGGAATGAAAAGGACAATCTTTGGTCTTCCAAATTTTGGGTGATGAGAAATAGTTATTTCTCCAAAACTGGCTGTTGTTCACCCATGACTTCGTTTTTTTCCTTCTGCTTAAGACTCATAATTCTGTCACTGCTCAGAAGAGTTCTCACTGAGCTACTGTAAAGCAAGGAAGTAGTTTTGGTCTGTTTCTGATTTATGTGTTCTCACAGCAGTAAATCTTAGCACACATGAACTGTTAGGGCTTGTTTTGCAAGGGCCCGTGCTGGGTGTTTTCAGCAGTCTGTCCATGTAGCTGGGCAAAAGTACAAGTTCTGCAGAAACATCTAACACTGAGTAGAAAGGTGCCAAGGTCTTTGGTTTTGTTGTGTCATTGAGAGGAGTACTGAAAGCCATGTTAGGGCTCTTAAAACTATATATTTGAAAAGGCATGCGAGCATCTTTTTGCTGTAAATGTGTATGTCAGCAGCATTTATTTACTAGGTAATTACTAGGTAATTAAAAGCAGACAGATCACCAGACTTGTAGGTGTGCTGTAGAGCAAGCATGAGGAAGGCATAGAGGTGATTGTGTTAGAGATCCAGGTGAACAGAGCTCAGAACAAGAGGTTAGTTAAGGTAAGAGTGACAGTCCTAAGAGACTTGTATAGACCTGTGAGAGTGGTAACCAAATGAGTATTAAACAATTAATGATTTTCTTCTGTAAGTGCGTCGGTGCCAGAGTGATAAAACTACACCCCCAGCTGGGCAATCATGACTTTGACAATTCTTTTTAGAGGAAAAAAAAATCCAACTCCCCCCCCCCCTTTATTTTGTGGCTAAACAGCACAGCATCAAGAACAGTGTTTAAAAGCTCCTCTAATAAGATGTCAGGAATAGTAAATCCCCACTAGAATGCAGCAAAATCATATAGGATCGTAGTATATATCCAGAATCAGATACAGTGTGATGTTTCTGGAAGAAAAATGTTTTTGTGCAGGTGGGCCACTTTTCCTCTGGATAGAAAGGTCTTTGTTATTTGCATGGGTAGTGTCTGTTAACAAACAGATAAATAATCTGTCAAATATCCTTTAGTAGTTAAAACAATGGAGACCACTGGGAGCTAAAGCTGAGCCAGCATTGCATTGTGCTGTGCTCTGGGAATTCAGTGGTAGGAAGAACGAGGGCAACAGTTCCAGGGACTGCTCCATGAAAGCTGTTTAATGAGTGGAAGCACTGAGCTGGGGAGTTTTGCTGCTACAGTTCTGAACTGTTACAGTAAAAAGGGGTAACAACAGGGATGTGTCACTGCAGGATCTGTGCGAGGCCTCAAGTGCCACTTGAGGTCTGTGGGCATCATTTACATTTACTTTAGCAGGAGCAGCTGGTGTGAAATGCATCTTGTTACAGCCTTAAATCAGCAGTGGTTTGTAACCTCTGTGAAATTTCTGGGTTTGTCTAAAATTGGATCATAAAATCACAGAACCTGATAAATTGACATTCTTCTGCTACTTACGTGTACTATATCACCTTGTGATACGTGCTACAGGATATAACTGATTTCTGTCCTCAGGAGTTTATGAAAAAGAATTTATATATGATCTAAGTAAATAGGCATTAAAAAGATGGGCAAAAATTGTGTATGCAGTACTTTACAGTTAATGCATGATTTACATACCTGTATTGCTTTTGTTCATGCTGATCACTTCAAAAGCCTTCCTTTATTTTGTGTGATGTTTTAGCTGATCTCCAGCATATCCTGCTCGCTCCTATGAAGTAGGACAGTGTGTTCTGTTGGCTAAGTTGTGTCAAAACCAATCATTAAAGAGCAAAAGAAAATAAAATGCTCACTGTTTATTTATTCTGACTCATGAACCAGCCTAAATAGCTTTTCTGTGGATTCACTTCTCTGATGTCAACCTCTGCAATGTACTGTCGAGGTATTGAAGCAGATAATCATGGTAATGTTTTGTTCCATCTTTTCTTTTTCAGGTTGAACTCCACAGAGTACGGGGAGCTCCGAGAAAAGCTCCGTGCTCCTATCAGCAATGCAGCTAATGTTGTGATCCATCAAAGCCTTAGTGATTTATTTTTAGAAACCTTTACATCTCTGGTGGAAATTAACCAGCCATATCACGTTCCAAGCACTCAGGTGAGACTTTCTATCCATGTGACACTGTAATAATTATACTTTCAATGTATGTGAGCCTGTGATTACTGTGTAATTGGTAAATGTTTACTTAGGGCTGTCTCAGGTGAATTATTAAGAGAATTCATTGTTGTGAGGTTAACAAAATGGTTTTATTAAAAATATGAATTAAACTCTGAATGATGATTAAATTATAATTATTAATTGAGGGTTATTAAGCAGTAATCACATGGTAATTAAACAGTAATCAATCAGTAATTAAATGGTATTTAACAGCAGTCACTCTGGTACTGGCTACTTCTAATAATTGTATACGTTTTAGATCTAATAAAAACAGTTGCTTACCTTGCTATGGATAATAGTTAGAGGGTAAGGGATTTCTCAGCCTTGAGAGGTAACCTTGAGAGATGTCCTGCCTGCCTGAGACAGCCTGCTGCCCTACAGGAGAGTTCAATGGGCTTGGGGGGCTGCAGTAACTTGCTTAGAGTGAGTGACTGGTGGTCAAACTGCCCCTTGGTGTGGATGTGCAGCTGTAGGACTTACAATGTCATCTAGTTACCTCCTGATAAGACATGGCCTAGATTCCTTAACTTCCTGAGAAGATACAGCCTAGCACAATTCCTTCCAGTCTGCACAGGCACACTGACTCCAGTCAGGCCTCCTTGTGGGTGACGCCAGAGCCAAAGTGCTGTTTGCTCAGTCGGGGTGGGTGCATCCCTCACAAGGGCTCACCTGCCATCTCAGGGCTCACATCATAAATGTAGTTCAGGCTGCTGCTTCCGTTCCTTCTACGAGGAGATGAACTGTATTGTGAGCAGTTTTGAGACATGAGAAATAACACAGTGAAATAAAGTCCCCTGTAATAATTCCCATAAAAATATAACGTGAAAACATTTGGAAATTATGATGTTGCGCTTCCAGAAAGTTTATGGGGAGTCACAGCTGCTGTTGGTGTTCTTTAGGCAGGTTGCTCCATTACAGCTTGCTTTTCTAGACAGCCAGGTTTTGCTGGATCTTCTGCTGAAATAAACTAATGAATCGTAATTGGGGCTTACTTTGGTTGTAAATAACACCATAGAGTCCTACCTGCAGCTATACTCATAGACCTGGTCATTATTACACTTGTACACCAATCAGAAGTGTGACTATACCACTGTCCAATGTACCAGAGGAAACTAATTAAACCAGTTCTGGTGACCCTGCAGGGAGTCTGTGTCTTATGTTTCAGCTAATGCAGGGAGTAGTTGGTATCTGTGGTAGTGTCATGGTGTGTTCACTCTATGGTTCCTTGAACTAGCTAAAATAAAACTGGATCAGATTTGCCTGCACATGATGTTGTTGTACGTTCTGGTGGCAGTGCCAGCTTATAGTGAAATGAGATGTTCAAAATAAAGACAAGATAGAACCTGATAATTTTTCATTTTAATTAAAATAAATTAATTTGTGACGCATTTAAGTGTCAGCTGAGCTACTGGTCTTTGGTTTGATATTGAGTGATAAATGTCATCACAAATTATGATAAGGACATAAAAAATACAACACTGAATTTTTTCCTATTCTGAATCTCCATGAGTAAGTTGAAAAAGTTAGTTAATCTTTCTGTGCTAGAGGTCTTCCTGCCTAAAAACTAAGATAAGCCTTAATTTCACAAGTTAAAGCTGATGCAGCTTCTGAAAGAAGCAGTCCTGCTTCCTGCACACTCCTGGTCCCCATGTTGACACAAGACTTTGTCTGTGGTGAACCTGGTTGTGTGAAACCAGGGCAGAAAGAGGCAAAGCAAATTGTTTTGTGTTCATCTGGATCTGCTCCACAGCCAAGCTGCCAGTGTGGCTGAGCAGGCACTTGAGCTGACAGGGAAGAGACACTGGAGTTGGGAACTAGAGACCACAGAGCAGAGCTGGTTTTTGTTACACCAGTAGCAGTATGAACAGGATTCAGGTCTCTGTGCCTGTTCACTGTGCTGTCATTTGAACTTTGTCAAGTTCTTGGACAGCTGGAAGACACAGGGGAAACGCTAATTATTGTTTATTAATTGTAAAACACTTCACAGCAAGATGATATCCCTATATGCAACCACAAGTTCATGTGGCATAATTAACTGTGGGGAAATATTAATTATTACAGTATTATCCAAGAAAACTTAAGTAAGTTTCTGGTCCTTCAAGATGAGTGTCCTTGTGTTCAGTACAGCCCCGGTTTCCCCTTTTATATCTCTTACCTATAAAGATGGAAGACAGGAACAGCCATTTGCTGTAGCAAGTGGTAAGAACTGTTCGCTTTATTGTTTTTCTTACTTTATATTGGTATGTTTTTTGAAAAATATCTTGTGTGAATGATAAAGCTGGCTATGTGCCTACCTTGCTGTGGCTACTGTGCTCTGGAAATAGGTGGAGCTCTTTGGAGACAGAAAGAATGTTTATTTTCAGTCATTTTTGTTTAATCACTAGTTTCAGGCAGCAGTTCTGGGTTTTCTGTTTAAAGAGAAACTTTGCTCCCATTCATTAGAAAGTGTTGTAATAAAACTGTTTGACATCTTCTGGTGGGGCAGTTCTGCCTTGATTATTCTGCCACAGATAATTTTCTAAAAGCCTTTGAAGAGCAATCACAGAAACCATTTTGTGCAGTTCACAATCTGGGCATTTTTCTCCTCCTTTAGGAGCTGGAGCCATGCATAGGGTGTATGCAGACTATTGCTAACATCAAGCTCATCAAGAACTGCCAGGAGCCAAACGAAGGGGAGTGCCAGCAGTGCTACTGCCGCCCCATGTGGTGCCTCACCTGCATGGGCAAGTGGTTTGCCAGCCGACAGGATCAGCAGCACCCAGAGACCTGGCTGTCGAGCCAAGTGCCTTGTCCGACTTGCAGAGCCAAATTTTGCATTTTAGATGTTTGCCTAATACGATGAGTAGTACTTGGGTACGTTTTAACTTTTTTAATTTGAATGTATTTCACAGTGGGTTTGGTCAAAGGCCTCCTAGATTTATTTCTGAGACTTTGTGTTCTACAAGGGTGCAAACTCCAAAGGTTTCTTCTACAGTGTTGAAAACAGATGCAAATCTTTTCAGTTACTTTCCACTCTTACCTGTATCTTTGGTATTTACTCACCCGATATCAATTCCTGGATTTTATTTTTTTTTTAACCCATGTTTTCCTTTCTTATGTCTTGGAAGGTTATCCTTCTATATTTGCAGTACTATTCTCTTTTCAAGTTTTAACGTAGGTTAAATTCTTTACATTTTTAAAATTAACTTGGGTTTTGATTCTTTAATAAAGGGCTAACTGAGAAAAATACTTTGGTTAGACTTCATTGATGCTTTGTTTTTCTTTACTCCACTTGTCAAGTTCTTAGTAATCTTTGCAGTTCTTCACCGAACAAGTGTACCAGTTGTGGTCCTTCTGCTGGTCCTAAGGGTTTCAGTAGGCTAAGAAATCTAATCCCTGAAGATTTCCAACTCCCATAGGGACTTTTTATTCCATCAGTTTGCCTCTAGCTTACATTTTGATGGATGTCTTTATTTCAAACAACAGAAGGATTCAGAAATACAACCCATTTACCTACACTGCTAATGCTATGCATCCTGAAATCTGTTGGTTTCTAGGAGCTACATTGCTTAGGGTTTTGATGTGCTTTAGATGATGGGACATTTTTTATTATATTTGAAGGGAGTGCAGCAAACTTCTGAGCTTTAATTTGTGAATTAAAATAACAGAGGGAAAAAACGATAAAAGAGAGAAAAGAACACTTTAATACTTTGTTCTAGGTGAATAAAAGCCAGGATATCTTCCGCGTGAATAATAAGAAGGATATTGCCAGTAAATCATTAGCAGAGATGACATGCCAGTGATTCCATAAAAACCTCTTGATTACCCTGACAGGCGAGTGCTTTGAGCAGGAATAGGTGGCAGGATGAAAAAATGGTACAAGTACTGGAAGCATAACCATGAAACCTTTCATGAGTCTCAGCCGAGCTACAGATGGTGAATTGCACCAAGCTACACTTTAAGCCAGGCAGGAAATGGTTATGAATGTGACTGTAATCCACAATTTAAAGAGGGATAAGGAATTGAAAACAGATTAGACAGCATCGCTTAAAAACTAACATTTATGTTATACTGTTGGTGTTGGTTTTTACCTTTGGATTTTTCAAATAATACTGACTTATAAAAGTCCAAACTGGGTTTAAGGACATTAATTGTTTCAGCATATCTCAGTTGCTATATGTACAACATCTGCTATGCAATTATCTAAACTACCTATTAATAATGGTGGTTTATCTGTTTTTCATTACCCGTTGTTTTGCATTGTATGGAGTGAAAATGTGACGCTGAGACAGCTAGTATGGATTTGTCTCTCCCAAAGAGACCTTAAGTGGCATGTCCCTCTTCAGCTGAATAGGATTAAGTTCCAGAGCTTCAGACAGATTTGTTGACAAGTATGAAAATTAATAAAAAAATCAAGGAGACGATCAGTGATTGAATTTGAAATATTTCCCACTGCTTCTGTGGTAAAGTTATTTGCAAGTTTAAAATGGTCTCTGCAGGCTTTTTTAACCTTTGGAACATTCTCACAGGGCCATGTGGTGTCATCTGACAATGCACCTATTGCTACACAGCAGCCTTTACAAATAAGCCTTTTGCAACATTTACTTCTGGAAAGTTTACAGGATGTGGCACAGACACGTGGGATGTGATCCTTGAAATAGTTGCAGAAGAGAGGGTAGGATTTTGGACCTGTGGTTTTGCCACTGACAGTCATTCAGTTCATACAGCTCTTTGCCTGTTCGGAAATAAAATATTTATTGTAAAGATGTCTGAAGTTAAAATCATAAAGGCCTTGAGAAACTTAGATAGTAGATACATGTAGCTGCAGATGGTTTTATAGAAGAAAAACATGTCAGTTGCCAATAGTATCTCATGTAATAGAGCTTTAGACTCCTAATTGCTTGTGCAATTGGAGCTGTTCCATACAGAAATCTGCCCTGAATTAACTGGAAGTTTTCATTTCATCTTACCTCTTTTGCCAGTATAACAGTACGATGGAGTAACCATCAAAAATGTAAGATACCCTTGCATCTTTTAATGCTCTATCCACAGAAGTGCCTCTTAGGAAACTTAGTAATAATTATCAAAATAAAATTATGATTTATGTTAATAATAGTGCCTGGCTTAAATTCCTTAAAACAACTATTATTTCCCAAGTTTAAATTCTCAAAGTAGTCTGGCATGCCTCCAAAGTTTGTAAGCTTAAAGGCTGTGTAAGAGAAACAAGTTGTTAAAAATCCATATGACATTTCCTTCTTAGAGGCAGTAGAAGGAGGAACTGTGACTTCTCCCTGCACAGTCATATGAGATGTGAATAAACCACTGAACAAGAAAATAATGGAATACAAAAATAGGCATTTGTCTTTGTCATAGCTTCAGGTCATCAGCCAAAGAACCACCTGCACATATAGGGCCATTTGTGGAGAAGATCCTCTCTGTTTGCAGCAGAGAAAACAACACTGCCTCCCACACAATCTTGATACATTTCTTAAAAATGAGGATAGAGTTTAGAATTGGTCTTTTTACAACATTTTATTAAAAAACAAAACAGACAAAAACAAACAAAACCAAAAAAAACCTCAAAACAAGTAATGTGATAGGCTAAAATATTTACTAAATAATTTTCTTTTATTTTTGTGTATAAATCACTATTAGTGATTTAGTGTTGCATTTTTCAGCAGTGTGTATGCTTTTCCACATCACTGACTTGTGGGTGGGCGATGTGAGTAATCCAAAGTACCTTATATAAATGTGATGTCACTGAACTAAGACAACGTATCTGTGGGTTCACACTGTCAGTATAAATATGCCATATGTGTGTGTACATATATAGCCCAAATTTCACTCTGTGCTGCAGCTCAGTAGGTGGCTATATTTATTTACACAGTTGTGTTAGTTCTGTAATTTGAGCATTCCAGAAAATACTAGGAAAATATGTTATCTGTTGATTTTTTAGGTTAACATAGTTAACCAAAAAAAAAGACATTTTTTTTTTCCAAGCAGGATATAATTTGAATCAATTATATGAATGAAGATGGGTTTTTTTACCATGAGGCTTGGTGTAGCTTGAACCCAAAAATACCAGGTTATTACATGATCTCTTCAATATGAGTATTTTTGTTGTATCAAAACTGGACCAGGTTGCCTAGAGAAGCTGTGGCTGTCCCATCCCTGGAAGTCTTCAGGGGGCTCTGAGCAACCTGGTCTAGTGGAAGGTGTCCCTGCCCATGGCAGGGGTTTGGAACTACATGATCTTTAAGGTCCTTTCCAACCCAAACCGTTCTGTGATTTTACTTGTTAGACTGCAGCTAAATACCATTCCAGTCAGGATAAACCTCAATAAGAATAAAGGTCTGAGTGCCATTTCTTAAGAAATATTTGTTGACTTTGAGCTGTTTAAGGAGGTAAGATATAAATATTCAAGCTTTTACATACATTACAAGACATTTTCTTCCAAAGACTTACTGCAGGGTTTCTTATTTGTGATTTTTGGTTTTTGGTTTCCTAGATAGCTTACCTCTTTTAAAATGGACAGTATTATTTAGGTAGCCTTTAAGGAAAAGGTTTAATGAATACATGCAGTTAATCTTAAAACTCTCTGAAGAACTGAATAAAAATACAATTGATTTTATGTAAGACTTCTGGTTTTAATTTTAAAGTTATGTTGGATGGGGCTTTGAGCAACCTGGCCTAGTGGAAGGTGTCCATTCCCACGGCAGGGGGGTTGGAACAATGTGGTTTTTAAGGTCCTTTCCAACCCAAACTGTTCTGTGATTCCGTTAATGGTGTGAAATGTGGGACACGTTTCTCTGGAGCGTACCTTGTGGTGCCCACCTTTGGTGAGATGATTTAGCTCACGACATCCAGCAGAAGGCTAACTTGACCCAAACCCAACCCTTGACTCATGCGTGAGGTAACGCTGTGATGTGGGAGCCGGGGTTTTCCCTGGATTAGCGAGCCCAGTGGGCCGGGGGCTCCAGCCGCCCTTATCCTGGGTGAGGGCACAGGAGAGGCTGTGAGGGCCATGGCGCTCTCGCCGTGAGGGAGCCGCGCCCTGCCCCTCACAGGAGCGCGGGCTGCAGGACCCTTCGCCTCCCCCTGTAACTCCCGATCGGCTTTCCGGCAGAAACAGCACATTTCTGCCTTCCCCACACTGGGCTCTCTCCCGGCTGTGGCACAACACGGAGGGCGCCTGCGCTACCCTCGCGTTCCAGGAGGCCGGGCCGCGCCTGCGCTGGCGGCGGAGCCGGAGCCATGTTCGGCCGCGGAGCCGCCGCTCGCCTCAGCCATGTCCGGCGGGCAGCGGCGCCCGGGCGGCGGGGATCCGGCCGGGCTTCGCAGGTGGGAGCGGACGCGGGGGTCGGGGGGACCCGGGGCGGGCAGGCATCGCTCCCTCGAGGCGCCTCTGGAGCTACCGCGGCTCCTCTGTGGGTGTGGGCGGGGGGGGGGTGGGGGGGTGCTACCCGTCCCAGGGCGCCTGTTCTGGGGCGACTCCGGGAGGAGCTGCTGGAGGGTTGGGATCCTCTGCCAAACATCCCCTTTTCTCCTGCGCCCTCGCCTCCCGTGCAGAGGCTGCCTTGGTGTCCCTGTCGGTGAGGAGTGAGGGACCAGCAGCCCGGGCAGGGCGTGGGCTCGGGCTCGGTGCCCCAGCCCGGTGGGGGCACTGGGATTGTCCTCAGGCTGGCGTGGGCGGGCAGTACGAGGCAAACACTGCAATGTTTGTAAAAGTCATCATTTTCGCTTAGCATTTCCTCCTGCATTTTCAAACAGTGGCATGTGTTGTCTTGTTGTACGTAAGCTGGGGTGCATTTTTTCCCCGCTGTTTCTTTCAAGTCCTTAAATCGAGTAATTGCTGTTGAAGGCTGTTAGAGGAGGGTTTTATCCATCTACTGCCTTTGCAAAAACCGAGCGCGCTGGCAGTGTCTTTTTGCCTGGATCCGCGATTTGGAGCGAGCTGTCTGTGCTATGTCTTGGTGGTAACTCTGAGCCCTCTGGGAGTGGGAAACTCCCAAAGCCAGTCGGGGTGGAGGAGGAAGGGAAGGAAAACATCGGTGGTTAATGCAGGATTAAAATATCAAAAACCTTCCTTTCCTCTCACTTGTTGACTTAAGCCACGGAGACGTGGCACACAAAGAGCCCTGTGTTTGCTGTTACTCACAGGCACACAGGTGCAGTGTGTTTGCTGTGCAGAGCCTGCAGTACCAGGTCGTTCTCCCAGGCAGGCGGTGAGGGTGGATCTACAGGTGTGGTCCTTGGCCCAGGAGCCAAGTCTGGTGTCAGCAGACGCTGTGGGGGTGTTTTGTTTAGCAACCTGTCATTTAAGAGGTCCAAGCCCCCAGAACTGAGAAGGAAAATGTAGAGAACTCTTAACCCTTAAGCAATCTCTGGCTGTCCCGCCGGTGTGTTGCAAAGCAGTAGAGTCAGGTCTTTGTTCCTTATGAGGGCTCTGCAGTGTCTGGTAAAGGATTTCCTGGGTAAAAGTGTTTCCACGTGAACATATGACCTACTTCTGCTTAGCCATTTTGTTTCCATGTGTTGAAGTGATGTTTCTGCATTTGCCTTTTCCACTAGTTTACTACTGAATGGGACAGTAAGTGTCAAATAATGCACTGCTGACAGAGGACAGTCTGAACTTTGGCACAGGTTCATAAACCCTGGGGACACTCCTCAATTAGGGTTTTTTTCCCCCACCTTTTTGTTTGCAAATAGAATATATTTTTTGTTATCTAAATATTAATGGTTTATTTGAAAATTCTTATGTCCTAATTGCATTAGTCAAAGGCCTTTTCTCAGCAATTGCATTGTCTAACACCTTTGTTAAGTTAGTGTTGCCTGAATAAGTTCTTGCAAATCACATACCTGTTTGCCAAATCAGATATTTGTCTGATATTGTCCATATTTGGTTTGTATAGGCAACGTTCAGTGACTACCAGGGACTTGATTTCAGATGAAAATTCTTGTTTTCTAGTTCTGTGCAACATCCACACTGCTGGCACCAAGAACAGGAATGTAGAAGCTGGAATGATTCAGATTCTTCTGTGTTTGAGGAATATCAATGTGAGCATTCAGACCACTGGCTGGAGAGGTAAGGAAAAAATGTCTTCTTTAAATGTGTCCTTAAATCTTCACTTTCTTGCATTCTTCTTTAGGACTCAAGAAAAGCTTGGCCATGATTAGATTAAATGTTTTCTAATAATACAGTAGCATGGAGCTAGGAAATAATACCTGCATCCTGCCAAGAGACGACCACCCATTTTGTCTGATTGAAATACAAGCCATAATATTAGCAAGTATTCCACATGAAAGGGAGAAATGGTATATACTGAGGCAGTAGTCTAAACTCTTTATTGCTGTAGTCTTCAGTATTAGTATAAAATTCCCATTGAAGCCATATGCTGTTACTCTCATGCTTTGCCTATGCATTTATGCATGTAAATGTGGGCAAACCATCTTTGTCTCTTCACTTGACAGTGCACTTGGTATGTTCAGCTGTATTGCAGTTTTTAGTAAACACTTTTGCTTTTTTTTTTCGTAGTCCAGTACAAGGAACAATTTGAGATGAGATAAAAGTTTATACGTAGGTAATTCTAGGAGGATTTTGCTTTGCTTTTGGATATTCCAGACTAAAGACAGAGGCAGTGGTGTCTTAATGTGGAGGAAGTGGTTGAGATTGACACCAAGGTGAAAAGTGGTGAGTGCTTGGATATTTGCATAAAACCGAGCAGAATGTAAGTTAGAAGAGAGGAAATATTTTACTGAGGGTACATGAATTTTTTTTTTTTTTTACATAATTCATACATCTCTGAGTATTACATTGTATGGATGTGATTGTAATTTCTGATGGCATGTTTAATATTGCTTTGTTAATAAATTAATTCTTTGAAGAGCTTAGGAAAACCCTTGTATTCAGGAGTGTTTTCTATGTCTTTGATGCTGTCATGAAAAATACTAACTATGTTTTGAGTGTGGGTATAAGTGGATGTGCCAGCAGCGTTTTGTGTTTCTCTTTTGCTGAGTAGATATGTTCCTTTTTAGTGTGAAATCTTTACTTCCTGTGTTAAAATGACACTGTCAGCATGGATGGTAATTTCATCTGTTGATGTGAAACTATTTATGGAAAGTAAGACTATAAGCTCAATCTACTTCTGTATTACTTATGTTAAATGTTGAGGCAGTAATGTTGGCAAAAGAGGGCGGACTGAAAGGAGAAGTTTTCAACACTTACATAAATGGGAACTGTATAATGCCGTAATTTTTTAAGTTAATGAGGAAGTTGGTAAGTGTTCCATCTCTTGGAGAACATCAGTGATACAATTGATGATTTAAGAGCTTCCTGACTGCTTTTTTGGCTTTGCACAGCAAAGTTTGCATTTTGAAATTATGATATTGGGATATGATATCATCGGACAAAATACTAGTTCTGCTCACATGATGGATGTTTTTCTATTTCTTAAGCATCTCCCTGGTCCTTTAAAAAGACCTTAGCTGACAATGGAGAGCAGCAACTAGACTAATTTTAACCTCAAGTAATTCCATGACTTGGGATATCTGATGGAATTGATATGTCCAGAAGGTCTTCAAGTAGTAGAGAGAGCTGAGATGAAAGTATTTTAAGAGATCGTGAGGTGTTGTGACAGGAGATTCACTTCAAGACCATTTTCTTTCCTTGCAAAGTAAAACTGATAATCTTACATCACTGCTGAAGGTGACTTTGAACTGAAATAGAGTAGGGGCATGCCCGTGGTTTTATGGTTGTGGAGCTGGTTTTGTCCACTGTTGAAGTTTCTGTTCATTAAATATGTTTCGAGAAGCAGACATTCATATTGAATTTCCTTTATTTTCTAGCTCTACAGCACCAGAACATTCTAGGTCTCTTTCTAGCTGCCCCAGCTGGGAAGGTAGAATTGAAGAAGGCAAAACAATGAGGACATCAAATAAAAAAATGACAAAGTAAGTACTGAACAATTACTAAGTATTGTTGCGTTGGTTTTAGCAATAGCCATCTGATGATCTCTGACTACTTTACATGCATTAAAGAAGATTTGAAACACAGTCAGGCTCTTTCATATTGAGCCTGAAGGAAGCCTAAAGGAGAGAGTAGCACTGAGAAGTTTTATCTCAAAAGCTACTTCTATAATCATTTCAGATTCAGGTTTGGTTAGCACAACTTTCTCTTCTGTAAACTACTGAGGTAAGGGTTTTGCTTACTGCCTATCAGAGTAAAATACAGGAAGTTCTAGAGTTTTTGTTTATATAACTTCTTGTAAAGCTCTTAAGGTTCCTTTCAACCTAAGTGTAATTTTTGTTTTCAAGTGATTCTGCTAATCCAGCTGAAAGGGAAACAGATGAAGTGGTTCTGAGGAGAAGACAAAAACAGATCAATTTTGGAAAGAATACCCTCGCATATGATAGATACATTAAAGAAGTTCCAAAGTAAGTTGCCTTGTGTTGCAGATTTCCAAATAAATTCTTTTTTGTTCCTGATGTGTGCATAGATCAGCACAGAGCTTTAGTTCTCTTTAAATTCTGTGAACAGCAAGTGAAGGAAACTTAAACCAATTGATGTTTTCAAGAGAAGTCAGCTATTTTCTGCATATGAGCAAATGTAGATAGGGAACATTTAAAGCTAAATGTTCCCTTTGTGGATTGCTGTTGTTAGAAGCAAGTATACTTTAAATAAATTCTGTATTAATCAGCTCCCTGTGATTCTGGGGAGTGTTGCTAGGCTAGTGTGAAGTTAATTGGTACCAGGAAATGTCGTCTTTGGATGAGGACTGTAGCACAGTAGCATGGTCACATTTTCAGTAATGTCTTTTTCTTCAAAGAGTCTTGGGTTGCTTTGTGACAGCATTGTTACAGTGTCTCCCCAGTGTAGGTTCTCAACTTGGTGTTCTCCCTCAGCTTAATGGCTGTGGGATGGGGCAGGGCTGAGTGGGGAGAAGAGGAGGCCTTGAAGTGCAAGCACTGGTCAGCAACAGCCAGAAAATAGTGTGTTATTGGCACTGTTTTAGACATAAATCCAAAACACAGCACTACAGGGATTGCTGTGAAGGAAGTTAACTCCATCGCAGCCAGACTCAGTACAACACTGAATACAAAGAAACTGCACCTGATTCAGGAAAACTGAGTACAAGTAGCAGGAGGTTAGGCTGCTAATGAAGGGGTATGAGTTATGCTTCTTCAGTTTCATACTTGTCCATGAGCAATAGGAATCTGCTTTTAGCAGCTGTCAGAGTACTGGACTGGATGAACCTCAAATCTGACTCAGCGTGTTATTGTTAGTTGTTGTTTTTGTGATCTATTTTTGACAATGTTTTAGAATAGACACGTTTCAGTTAGATATTTAAAAATAGGAATGTTTTATTTATTAGACTACTGATGCCACTGGGATCTGATGGACTGAGAATTTTTTTTTTTTTAAGAATGAAAATAATGGTCTGAAATAATAAATGTTACTATGTATTTACAGGAATCAGCGAATACCAGGAGTTCATCCTAGAACTCCCAACAAATTTAAGAAGTACAGCCGTAGATCCTGGGACCAGCAGATCAGGCTGTGGAAGATAGCACTGCATGCCTGGGATCCTCCTGCTGAAGAGACCTGGGATCTGCAGCCAGTGTGTGTAAATGGGTGAATTAAGCCAGGCATTAAGGAATTAAGGAGGGCTCTGTATGTCCTTTAGAGCATTCCTGACTGGGAGCAAGGGAGGAGATCAGGCTCAGAAGTGGGAGTCTCCTTGAATGCCTTGTTTTCCTTTTGAATTCTGTTAGTCTTCAAGAAATTCCCATTACTTAGTCTGAGTTGATCTTTAATCAGGTGTTCTGGAGAGGGAGGCATTTGGTCTGTCTGCAGTAGTACATTCCCTTCCCCTGTGTATTTACACTGGTGAGCACAAGGTCACATTATTTTTCTAGAAAGAGATAGGCAAAAGCAGAAATTTAATTACTGTTCCTTGACTTTGATAACCTTTCCATCTTTGATGCCAGCTCATACTTTACAAGATTTAGAATAGTAAATTAGGGAGGAAAAGAGTGAATGGAATTCTATTGGCTCTGTTACTGCACTGTGTAAATAGTTTTACTCTGTTGTAATTTGACCTATGGTGGAAGTTGCAGTTTTTACACCATTTGGATGTCATATGGGATGAACTGTTAATTGTTACCACAGCTTAACTGCTGTCTCCTTGGAGCAGTAAGCCAGATGGGCTGTTTTTTAAACCTTTTTTTTTTCCATCCTGTTTTTAGTAGTACAGAACCCTCAGGCAGCTCCCAGGAATGGTTCTGCAAAGATCAGGACATTTCTGCCTCCTTTGTGTTTGACGAAAAGCAGAAGAGAAATGAATGTGAAGACGAATGCAGGCAGACTGACTGCACACCTGAGAGGTAGGAGATGAAACTTTCGTGGTTAACTTGGGGACATAATTCAGTGCATGTCGATGCTGTCAGGTTTTTGTAGGAAATGTTTTCTGTGGAAGAGCAGTTAAAATGCAGCTGTGGAGTTTGACACTTGATGTTGAATGTAATCCGTCAGTGGTACAGAGCACTGAATGTGGACAAATTAACAGCACTGCAGAATTACATGACTAACAGGAGGAAAAGCCAGTGTTTTTTCAGCTTCTCTGTTTATACAGTGGGGTACTCAGGTTTCTTTGACCACCATTGGCATGTGCTGAAAGTAGGGGGACTTTTTCAGAAGCAGGAGTCACCATCCTTAATAGTACTATACCTGTTTGCAGAACAGCAGGGAGACTGACAGTGAAGCGCCCTATGCACTTCCCTGTTTACTAAGATATCTTGTCCTGGGGGGGGGATGTGTGTGAAGCTCAAAATGGTTCTGCTTCCAAGCTGCTTCTGCAGTTGTGTTCACATTCCATAATACAATGGCATGGTTACCAAAATTTGAGCCATTTTTTCTGTGTTCCTCTGTGTGCCTCAAGAATCATACCTCAAAAAGAATCATCCTGTGTAGCATGTGCCATTATTTAGCAGAACTCTGATAAGCATTTCAGCACAGATGAAAAATGCTATGTGTGTAAAATCTGTGTCTTATTTTTGTAGTCCCTGTTCATCTGATTCTTCTCCAGTATGGAAACGCAGAAAAAGAAATAATTCTGAGTCCTCTGTGGTTTCAGAGAGCAAAGCCCCTTATGTGCAGATGTACCACACACTGGAAAGGTATGAAATGACTCTGATTTCCAAATATGGAAATTCATTGATTATATGAACTGACTTTTGGAATATGACTGGTATTGTTAATAGCTTTAATTTTATGTAAATGTATGTGCAATTTAATGAGGAAGGGAAATCATGCCAGAACAATTGTGTTGTATGATAGCAAATATTTACAGAGGTCTGTTGCAAAGATGAAGAAAATTTCAGTGTCACAAGTCACAGCACAGAGGGGAGGGGTTTTTTGTGTGTAGATTTAGGCAACACTAATATGCTGCTCTTAATTTCTCTTGGACTGCTGAAACTCGCTGCCTGTTTAATTATTACTAAGTTACATTTTCTCTGTACTATGTGTATTAAATGTACCCCTCAAGGGATGTGAAAAGAAGCTTTGTGTATTTTGATTAAGCCTTTTCCTGCCTTGTGAAAGATGGTGTGGAAGAAAATGCTGGTTGGAACAACAAGGAATTGGGTCACACAACCTGGGACAGAGGGAGGTTATTGTTAAAAAATGAATAATACAAGGGTAGAGTTTTTCAGGCCAACACCTTTATTCTAAGTTGTTCAAGATTTAAGCTACTTCTGTAGCTATTGGTATCATATTTCCTTTTTTCTCCTTTCTTATCTGCTGCATAAGAAGTCTTCCTACAACTAAGAAACGATAGCCTGTGTAGAGGAGAGCACGGTTTAACTGTACAAAGTTTTGTCAGAACCACCAGAAAACTTGACCAATCATTTTAAGTTTTTCAGGGGTTTACCAGACTTTCCACGCTAACCTTAGTAAAAATGTTTATACAGGTTGGCTTTTTTCTCTCTACTTATTCCCCCTTCAGAAAAATTAAGAGGAACTGTGTGACAAAGGTGCATGGATTCAGACCATTTCATTTTATTTCCAGCCTTACTGACTCAGGACATCAGGAGGCTTTTTCAAAATGCTCAGAGTGGGAAGCCTTTGGTGAAGATGATGAAGTAATGACAGTACAGCAAGGTATAGAAATAACAAGGTAAATACCACAAAGATTATGACAGTATTTCTTTTTATTGCTTATGCTGTGAAGGGGCCCTTCGCTTTTCTTCTTAATCTTTTCCTTCATTGGTTAATGCTACTTTTTTTTCCTTCCTTACATTTACTCCAACCTGTGATATGTTTCGTTGTTATTTTTGTTCTTTGAGTTTACTTGGCTTTTTCCAGTCTGACTCTCCATCTGTTGCTTTCTGCTGCGTCTGCCATTAAGTTATGCCAAAAGATGAGCCCCTTTCATGGTCTTTGTCTTATGAAAAGCAGTGGCAGTTGGCAGAGTTGGTCCCTGTGGTTGTTACTCACCTCTCACTTCCTCAGCCTGGGAGCTGGAAGCTTCCTCTCTGTCTCCTTAGAGGTTGTTTTGTAGCTGACATCAACGATAGTTATTTGTTTTTATGCAGTGACCCAATTCCAGCGGGTTGTTCTTCAGGGTTGAACAATCCGAAACAGAAGAAATCCAACTTCTTTCTGCCTGACAGCAAAACTTGCAGAGACACAGACTGCAGGCTGGAGAGGTATGAAACGCAGCTCTTCAATCAGGGTTTGGGGGTTGTTTTGCAGATTAATTTAGAAGCTTTGTTGAATAATGCTGTATTTCAATCCAAACCTTTATTGTAAAGATAGATTTTTAAATTTTTTTTTTTTTCCTACTGTTCTTCTTAGGGATGTGTTGGCCAGTATTTGTTGTGTGGTAAAATTCTGTCCTTATGTTCTCATGTTACAGTCTATATTAGAATACGTAGGTTGTAGCCCTATTAAATGTAAAAAGATTTAAAAGGTTACCATAATAAAGCCACTTGGTCTTTGGTTTGTGTTTTTTTTTTATTTGTAGGCTTAAACTTTGTAGCAGTTTCTTGGAAGGACATCGGTCAGAATACCCTGAAAGAGGATGGGGAAGTGCAAATGCTGAAGATACAATAATGAGGAAAAAAATTTAAATACCAAGGTGAGTTTGTGCTGGCTGCTTATTTAACCTGTTCTGTTTTAGTAGCCCATCCACAGTATCATTCTACACAATCAAACTGTTCAGTTCAAGCAGATCTTATTTTATTCCTTTATTATATTAGTATTTTATCCCATCCTCTTGTATTTAATGCAGCACCTGAATGAAAAGATTTAATGATTTACACTTGCTAAATTGAAATATTTATCTGTCAGGTAGAAAATGTGTTTTATCACTCAAATGAAAAGTGCCAGTTTTTTTAATTATTGCAGTAGCACCTTTTCTATCTCTTCATATTTTTGTAATGAAGTCACAACTTTGAGTTTTGCAGCAGTAAATTTTAGTGAAAACTTCTTCTTGGACTGTAGATTCCTGTGGTACATTAATAGGATGGGTAGTAATCTTGGGTCAAATAGGTTTTATTAGCAGGGGATCTTTTGTGTAATTAGATTGTCTTTGATCTATGTTTGGTGCAGGCTTGGAAACGTGGACTAAGATTTAAATGTTAAACAGTGATCTTTGAATATTTTGCACAATAAAGCTCATTAAGAATATGGCACAAAATCAGTTTTACATTCAGATTTTGCATTCTAGCAATAGGAGGAAAAGGCAGATAGAGCTTTTAAAAAAAGCTGATAGCATTTTTCTTTTGATTTTATTGATTTTTAATTTAAACTCTTTGAGCATGAGTAAGATTTAATATGCATTCACTTTGCCAAAGTGCTAATTCAATATTTGAAAATATCTAGTCTCTCTTTGTATATAGAAGTATTGAAGAAGGAATTTCTCCTGTGACAGAAAAAGACTTGAAGAATAGGGATGTAGTCTGAGATCAGCAGATCAAGTCTTGGAAAACTGGTGCTGTCATGTAGGATCTGCACTGCAAGAGGAAGAGATTTACAGTCAGCAAACGTGCAATCAACACAAGGTGAAATTATTCAGGTAAAAGAAGCATTTCTGTCTACATCCCACTTCAGAGCCTTTCTGGTTTCTAGATAGTTGATATTCAGCTGTTTTGCAGTGGTCTGCATTGTAAATAAGGCTCAGTTAAGGAGTGTATATTTTCAGGGGGTTTGTAATCACTCTAATTGAAAAAATATCTGTGTTAGATGTAAAATGTACAAAGTGAATTAAAAAGCTTCTTTATGGAGCAGCACATTGGTTTCCTGGGATGCAAAGGTCAGTATTTAGAGCGACACGGCCTTTAACCATGGCTTTTAGGTGTGATGACCTCTAACTCTCAAATGGCAGGAACTTTGTCTGTGGAAGGTTAATCTTGCTTGAAAACCAGACAGTGGGTTACATGGTGGAATTCCACACCACCTGCCTTTTTGTTAAAATAACATTTCTGTCTTAAACAGGAAAAATAAATGTGGCTGTTTTGGAGCGCAGTTAAATGTCTGTAAATATGAATGTACCTGGTTCCTTTCTAGGTGAAAACCTTAGTCAGCAGGACACCTAAGATATGTCAGTAATTCATTAATTAGAATTAAGAGAAAAATGTATTCTATGAATTAATAATGACATTTAGATGAAAATTTTACGATGGGTTGGGAATGGTAGGCTCAGGTGCTTCCTCTTCTCTTTCACAAATACTTCAGGAATATATGAGATATTTATAAAATGCTGTTATATGTTTTTTTTGTTTAGGTTTCTCCAGATCTTTATAAGGATAGATTGTTTTCTACAAGCTGTGCCTCAAGTGTAAAACTTCAGATTTCATGAAGCCTGTGCTACAGTGACAATGGATGTTCCTTAAAGCTTTTGTGAGAAAGTTTCTGCTGTCCCTGCATTCGCAGGTGACATGTGCATCACATTGCAAAGGCTACTTCAGGTGATGGATCCTGCCATTCCATATGGAGATCTTGCTCCTAAATGTTATACCAGGGAATTGGTTCAATATTCAGTCAAACTGAGGAATGTCAGCCCTAAAACCAAGGAGTCCCTTTGCTTTACTGGACCAGAATTGTACATCCAGCCTGAAGAACTGCTTCAGAAGAATGTAGATAATTTCAACCTTTCTCCAGTTGTTAAAGACAAGCTGTTGAGAACTTTTGGAGTGGGTGGTCATCCATTTGGCCTGTTTATTGTTCTCTGAGATGTATTAAGATAGCATTTGCCTAAGCCAAGTGAGAGAAGAGAAAGGAAAAGGTGATAGTTTATCAGAATCAGATCCTTTTCTTGAAGGGGCTGAGCAACTGCTAGAACAGTAGCACAGCTTAAAGACCCAGATTTTGCTTTTATGTGTTTTGCAGCCTGACCCAAAGAGCCAGTCTCCTGTTAAAGAGTGTAAGAGGATGATTTCAGTGCCTGCTGTTCCTACAGGAACTGGGGGTGAGAAGCAGTATTTGCAGATGTGGAGCTGCTCTTGTCCAGTCTGAGGAATGTGATGGTGTTGGGATAGGTTCTCCTTTGTTTTACTCTTCCGGCAGTGTGCTCAGAAGATTGAAGTGAGAGCTGTGGCTACAGTGGTTTATACAAAATTCATGTGCCAGTTACAGGAACTTTATAGTCCTTGTGGCATTTTGTGTAGCATGTCCTGGGATACCAATGTCTGCTAGAGCTGGGAGTTGTCTCTCTGCAGGAGTTTGGTTTTGCTTTTTTGCCACAGTCTTGCTGTGGGGCTGGCAGTACCCAAGGGCTAAAATCCCATTTTGCTGCTGATTTGAAAGTAAGCTGCTTCCCCAGAAACTACTCCCAGTTCCAAAACGTTATTTCCAGGCGTGCTGAGGCATTTATCCCAGCACAAGGGTGGCTCAGTCACACACCACGGAGCACAAAGTGTGTGTATGCAAGGGACACATCTGTACAGCACTTTTTTTAAGAAGTAATATTTAGAACCTTGTTGTTCCAATGTGCATGCTTCCATGTGATTTATGATGATTGTAAATAAGGGAATGTGTTACATTTTTGGCTTTTTGCCTTTATGCAGAAGAATTAAAGACTTTAAAAATCGTTGTTAGTCGGCTTTTGCTGTTATGTTTTTAGAGTTTGATCATAAAAGGAATATGTGGGTTCAGTAGTCCTTTTTCATTTGTTTTAGGGTGTTCTGTTTATTTTGAGTGTTGTCTTTGGTTTATTAGCCCTTGCTAAAAGGGGGAAAGAGGAGTCTTCAGATATTAAATCAGACTCTTGAATGCAGTTTACAGCTCAGGTTGTGTCCAACCCCTCAGTTTGTATTTTGGCGTCTTATCTTGAACTTGTGTTTAGGGTGTTGTAACCTAGTGGGAGGGAGCAGCTGAAGCCCCAGCAGCTGTTATGCTGTGAGAAAGGTGTCTTCCTGGAGAAGATGGAACTGCCAGGTGAGAGTAATAGGCTGTCATGAAATACTTAAACTCTGCTTAAGTATTTAATGAGTATTAAGAGCCCTTAAGCTTTTGCCTAAAATGGACAGGGCTTGCAGTGAATTTATGGACACATATCCATAAGAATTGTACTTCAGCAGTCCTTAAAAGATCTTATATTTCTTGGTTGAAGATACCTAGACTAGAAATAGAGTAACTAACCTGCCTGTGGCAGTGAAATTTTGGGTAGATCTGTTCACTAATCCAGGTTCTGTATGCTTGGACAAGGAAAGGAATGCTGAGCAGGTGAGGTTTGAGGTCTGCTAAAATCATTTCGTGCAGTGCTGCCACTGGATGTAGGATCACCACGTGTTCTAATTATTAACAGTAACCTCATCAGTCCAGACAGAGCAGCCAAAATTGGAATGCAGCCTGTCCATGCACTTGTTTACCTACCCAAGGCTATTTTAGAGTCTACAATTGAGGTATGTGAAGCAGGAGTCTGGCACTCCACCCCCAGTTTGTATTTGATACCCTTCCTTTAATTTTACCCAACTTAATTAAATCTCCTTTGTCTAAACCTGTGCTCGGTTTGTAATTAAGCCAAAATACACCCCGAACTTCACCAGCCAGGTTTAAATTTCTTCCTGGAAGTGGCAAGTATTTTGTGTTGGCATGATTCCATTGTGAGGATCTCCTTACAGATGATACATTATCTATGTCTGTGGAAACTTTCCTTCACTGGCAGTTCTGAAATGCCATGGCTCGTGTGTACCTTTTGTTTGTAAAACTCCTGCTTTGAGATCACAGTTGAGGATATCTCCTCCCTAAATTTCCCACTGTGGTGTGAAAATGCTTTTCTGAAGGATTTTTATTGCTGACAAGGACAGAAGGATGCAAGGCAGCTGCAGTCCCTGAGCTGTGTCACAGCAGACAGTTCTACTGGATAAACTGAATTTAATTTGTACGTAGCGTTATGCTAAAAGCACTGTGTGGCTTCCAGACTGGAGCTGTCCTGTCTGGCTTGCTTGGATGTGTTCAGGTAAACGTGTTGTTCCAGTCAGCTTATCTCAGAGCCAGGCTGAAGGGAGTGGAGTTTGTTTTTACATATTTGGAACCTGTGCTGTACTTCAAGCATGTCCTTGGTTCAGGAACACAGTTCTGTTTTCCACAGTGGAGTGTGGGAAAGAAGAGGTGCTGGCAGAGCCGACTTTACTGCAGCAGTGTGGGTGTCCATGCAGATGCCACCCAGAAAGATGTGAGCTTGTACAATTACAGTAAGGCCAGGCAACAGGAAAGGAATTTTCAAGGTAAATCCCTTCATAGTACTATTTTCAGATCTAAGTGGGAGCCAGCCCGACTGTTACCACCCAGAGCCAGGCGTTTTGGACACATCCTACAGCAGAGATGCTCTGAGGAGAAAAATACAGGACCTGTGTACAACCTTCAGGGGAAAAATGAGTGGAAAGTATACACAGTTCTTGCTTACCTTTTCTCAAAACAGTACTGATTTCAGTCAGGAGCACTAGGCACGTAGCTGTGTACGTGATGGCTGGGAAGACCAGACACAGTACCAGGCCTCTTCCATTTCTGTGAATAATTACATGAGAAATTTGTAGTTTGTGAAACTCTGCTTCATTTCCACACTGGAGATGCAAATCCTCCTCTCACCATCCTTTGTGCATCGCAAGGCTGAAGCGTATCTTTATTTTTAAAAAATCAAAACCAAACACCACCCTGTCGCTGTGCTCAGAAAGTCTCTCCAAAAGCATTGCTGCACTTCAGTAGTTGCTTTTGTGTTTTAAACTGATACTAAAAAAAAAAAAAACAACACACATTAAAAAAAAAACTACTCAGACAATTTCTGTTTGCTACTTCTGACATCTGTTTTACCAGATGTGGCACTTGGGGACATGGTTTGGTGGTGGCCTTGGCAGTGCTGGGTTAATGGATCGATTTGATGATCTTAAAGGTCTTTTCAAGCCTTAATGATCCTGTGATTGTAAGGCTGGAAGAAGAAAACTCAGTGTGCTGCATCTTTCTGAAGTGTCCACCAGCCTTCAGGCCACAGGGGCTGCAAAGGTATTTTTGTTTAAAGCTGTGTGTATTCTGTTGCAGGAGTTCTCCGGATTGTTTATAAATTACTGTTGCAAAATGTTAGTGTGTGCCGGATTCTCAGGATGAGCAGGATCTCACTGTGCATGCAAGTGCTGTTAAAAACACCGGAAAGCTCTGCTTACCAAGGCATAGCAACCTCGTGGCATTACCCAACTTCCTTCACTATTGATATGAAAAACTATTTAACGGCATGTCTTTTTAAACAACATAAATGTAACCGTCTGCCGTAGGGTTTGAACCGTCCCTTGAAATACCCTGAAGAGGTGCAGAAGAGCTGTGTCGGTGACCGGCCATCCTTCATATTTAAATCGCGGAGATCTGTGGTTTTTTTTCCTTTTGTTTCGGCTGGGGTTTTGTGGGTTTTTTTGTTGTTGGGTTTTTTTTTTTTTTTTTGGCTGTTGTTTCAGGCGCGCGCCAAAAACCGATTCTCCCGCCAACACGCCCCGGGGGCGGAGCCGGGCGGAGCGGGCTGAACCACCACACTATCGGAGGGGGGTGTGTGGGGTGTGTATCAGTGTGTAAAGGCGCGAGGCGGGGAGTTCCGCTTTCCCCTTCCCCCCCTCCCGTACCTGTCCCCTTGGAGGCGTCCCGCGGGGGGGCGGGGCGGGCGCTGCCTCTCAGCGCCGGCGGGAGATGTGAAGGGGCCGAGCGGGAAGGCGGCGGCGCTCCTTCTGTCCTTGTCTCCCCGCAGCGCCCGCTCCGCTCCCTCGTCACCGCCCGGCTCTCCCTCTGCGCCCGCTCCGCTCCCCCGTCACCGCCCGGCTCTCCCTCTGCGCCCGCTCCGCTCCCCCCTCACCGCCCGGCCCTCCCTGCCGAGGACACCCCTCGCCATGTCCTTCCGCCAGCGGAGCCCTCACGGCAGCACGAAGAGCAGGTAGTGTCGCCGGGATGAGGCGGGGGGTGGCGGCGGCCCAGCTCTCGTTCCCCTCCCCCGCAGCTCTCCGGCCCTCGCTCCCCTCCGGCCCTGAGGTGTGCTTGGTGGTGGTGGGGCGGGGGGGGAGCCGCCTCGCTGGGTTTGTGGGAGTGAAATGAGTAAATAAATACCTGCGATGTCTGAAGGAGGTTTTAATGCGCTAAAACCCCCCTGGTTTGTGCTCACCTTGTGTTTTTCCGTGTTTCTTTCCAGCCCGCAGCACCCCCCGCGCTGGGCCCAGGCGCGGAAACGCGGCGCCGATGGGAGGCGGCGGAGGCAGAACGAGCCCGAATCCTCGGTTTTTGAGGAAAACGAGCCCCGTCCTGCGGAGAGCCGGCAGGACAGGTGAGCGGTGCTGGCCACGGGAGCGGCTCCCGGCTCTTTGTTCGCCAGGAGCTGTGAACTGGCTGTTCTACTGAGTTTTCCAAGCCCTGGCTGTTTATCGGTCGCTCATCAGCCATAAATAGCTGGTCTTAAAGGAGGGAAAAGGATCTCGGGCAGTGCTCCTACCTTAGAGTCACTTCTGAAGAGTGAATATTTAGTTCTTATCTCTTGAATTGTATTCTTGATAATTTTCTGCCCTATTTCCTGATTGCTTATTGCCATTTATCACAAAGAAATAGTTGTACAGGACAATTGTTTATCTGTCGATATAGACTGTACAAACCGCTGTGGTAAAATTAAAAAAGATGACAAAAATTCAATTCTTAGAAGTCATCTGCCTTCATGATTTTTGGAGG